GCTCGTAATACTTATCTTTAACAAATTTGTTGGAGAAATTGTTTGGATGACTGTGAATTTCAACGGTAATGGAGAAATAACTTGTTGTTTTAGAAGTCATTTAGCGTTGCGACTCTTCTTGAATGACTAGAGAATAGGCTTTTTGCACATTGGGTAATGATGATATTATGAGAACGTTGTTTTGAATAATGATGTAGGAATCATTAAGACCCGTGAGAAACTGCATCAAGCGATCTTCTTCCTTTTGTTCATTGTGCGCCTTTAACCGTTTGCAAGTAGGAAAAGTGTGATATGTTTCTAATTCATCCCAAAGGCCTTTGATTATTGTAAAATAGGTTAAGGCTGACACGGTGCTTGGAATAATAAGGCCAAGGATATTTGAATTTGATATGTTGTTGAAATATTTCGTTGTGAAAATGAATCTTTAAAGTCTTGTTGAACCTAACATTAGGGGTGGCAAAACGGTCGTGACTCGCCATGTCGGCCCGCGCACCCACTAAAAATTAGCGGGTTGGATTGGGATTTTGGGTCTGCCATCCAACGAACTCCGTCCCGCTAAAGACCGCCATCCGCCAAAACCCGCTCCGCCAAAACCCACCGCCCATAAAAACTCGCTGCACCTATTCGTTCAACTTGTCCCACCTTAAACCCGCCCTTTTTTAGTTACTTCTAATCATTCCAATTCTTTATGGTTTTATTTTATACATTTATTTGAGAATATATATGCAATATTTTTTAAAGTAAAATTTGTTAAAAAGATGCTTTATAAAAATTGTTTTAAAAAAATAAGTGAAAATTTAACTGAAATGTAAAAACAAACCTATTAATCTATTAAAAAATATTTAAAAAATAGATAAATAAAAAAGTAGGCGGGCAAGCTCGCTGCCCACCAACCCGCCACCTTAGCGGGTCGAGTTAGATTTTTATGCTCATTTCTACTTGGCGAGCTTACCTGCCCTACCTTTCTTTTTTGCGGGCTTAAGACAGGGTGGGACGGACGGCCCCATTTTGCCACCCCTATCTAACATGTAGTATTGGCATAAATGATTTCCTTGGCCAAATTTGGTTATAGTAAATGTGCCAGCCATAATAAAATCATGATATCGATTCCATAGAGCATAACTTGCAGGTTGAACTTCTTGTGACAGTTCTTTTATCCATCCATGGATGAAGCACACATTGTGTATTTTTTTGTGACTGTGTGTGGACTATCGATATGATTCATGATGAATGATTGGTGTCATTTAATTTTATTGGGAGAAGCAAGTGACCAGCGTAGGATGAATGTAATGTAAATTTGAAGAATTCATATCACAAAAATTATTCTTATTTGATTTGTTATTATTGTTGTTTGGTTGTTTCTTATTTGAATTTTCTGATGGAGTTTTAATTCTCAAAGTGTGCTCTGATACTATCTTAAGATGGCAGTGAGAAAGTGGAATATAGAATATGAAAATAATATAACAGTTTGAAATACAACTTTTGTATATTGTGTTTTTTATTATTGGTTTCGTTCCACAATAAGTAATTCAATTGACTTTTCACACAGATTAAGAAAAAGGAATAAATGAAAGAAATAATGATATTTTTACTAAAGTACTCTTATCATGTATTATAAATGATGAAAGTAATATTAATTAGAGGGTAAAATTGAAAAAGATGCATTAAAAATTGAAATAAGTCATTTATTTTTTGATATTTTTTTATTTCAAATAAATCACTCATTGTGAAATGAAAAGAGTACATAAACCTCTAAATCATATATATATATATATATATATATATATATATATATATATATATATATATATATATATATATATATATATTATATATATATATATATATATATATATATATATATATATATATATATATATATATATATATATATATATTATATTGACATAGGTGATTTTTTCCTTCACATCTATTCTTAAAACAAATGTATTGTTCAGACTTCAAATGTGAGCAAACAAAGACAAGATTTGGTCATACAATGTATCCTAAAGTATCACATCAATTCTATATATATTTATAAAAAAGCTAGTGCTAGTAGACAATGTAAGATCACATAGTCAATGTCACACTAAGCATCATTCTGAGTCCACGTGAAAGTTGAGGTTGAGGTTTGTAAACAGTTTGCAACCTCAACCTTAATTCAGAATAAATTTCTTGTTTCGTTCTTGCTCAAATGAGTGTTCCAAGTTCCAACACACAACTTCATGTTCTTGTTCCTGCACATATAAAATGAAACTACCATCTCTATATCTTATGTGGAGAATAGTGAATGATACTTGTACTGAAAAATACCTGGGTGGAAAAGGAAATGACGATATGTGGCCATCATGATCATGATGACCATGCATGGTGTACTAACTAAGAAGGAAGTAAGGAATGAGAGAAGAATGCAATGAAAGAATAGATAGTAACATGCTATTTATAAGCAGCAGTGGAGTCAGCAAGCGAATACCAAACTTCCTTTATTAATATTTATGGTCTATCGTGTTGAGTTGGTAGTTGCATAGACATCTGACTGCAGAGGGCAGATGCGTGGATTTGAGTGTGAATATGTAAAGTGGCAGTTGGAATGGGTGGAAGAAAGAATGAGCGACAGCAACCATTCCTGTTAAGAGGTCACTCAACCCCCACATTTTAAAATACTTTTTTGCTTTCTCTCTAGTTTTCGTTGAAGGTCAAGTGACCCAACTATACATATTTTTTGTGCTCAAATATTTTACTTTTGAAATAAGTCATCAAGTCAAAGATTTTTTTCAATAATCGTTTGCAATATATGACAGAGAGAGATATAATCAACTTATAAATTTTTACTTTATAGAGTAATTTTTTGGTTGAAGAGAAAGAGTGTCTAGTTTGAATAAAATGAAAAAAGATAAGTCAACTTTGGAGACTACATAAAAAAATGCATATAAATAAATTTAAAAAACTGAAAATTATACTAATTGAGACTACATCAAAATATATAAGTGAGAGGCCATAAAGAAACTAGTAAACTAAAAATAGGACAAAAAGAATTGAGAAATTTAGGTAAAGAGGTTTTTGGAAGATTTCATTTTATTCATAAATACATAAAGTTAAAAAGATATATATATATATATATATATATATATATATATATATATATATATATATATATATATATATATATATATATATATATATATATATATATATATATATATATATATATATATATATATATATATATATATATATATATATATATATATATATATATATATATATATATATATATATATATATATATATATATATATATATATATATATATATATATATATATATATATATATATATATATATATATATTAATTGAAATCTAAGCTATTTCTCATTGTCATCCAATTAAAATTAATATATAAATTTAAAAAATAAATAAATAAATATTTATTATTAATATATTCTTTCTTTTCAAATTATACTAATTGAGACTACATCAAAATATATAAGTGAGAGGCCATAAAGAAACTAGTAAACTAAAAATAGGACAAAAAGAATTGAGAAATTTAGGTAAAGAGGTTTTTGGAAGATTTCATTTTATTCATAAATACATAAAGTTAAAAAGATATATATATATATATATATATATATATATATATATATATATATATATATATATATATATATATATATATATATATATATATATATATATATATATATATATATATATATATATATATATATATATATATATATATATATATATATATATATATATATATATATATATATATATATATATATATATATATATATATATATATATATATATATATATATATATATATATATATATATTAATTGAAATCTAAGCTATTTCTCATTGTCATCCAATTAAAATTAATATATAAATTTAAAAAATAAATAAATAAATATTTATTATTAATATATTCTTTCTTTTCAAATTATTATAATTACAATTTTTAACTAAATCTTACAAACCCCTCTTTCAATAGAATTTTTTAATTCTTTCAAATTAGAGAATTTTCGTACTATAAATAAAATAATCTCTCCAAATGCAATCCACCTAAATTCCTCCATTTTTTATACTCCGTCCTTTCTTTTTTTTAAAGTCAAATTCTCAAACAAAGCCTGCCTTAATCTTTGACTAAAAGTTAGAAGAAATGTAAAGGATTTTAGAAAAATGATGAAATAGAAAGAATTACATATTTTAGATGGAAAAAGTGTTGGAAGATTTATTTTCTTTTCACAATATAAAATCTTTTTTATTTGAGAATTTAAAAACTATAATAAATGAAAAAAAATGAAAATTTTAGAAAGGGTCAATATATTTTCTAAATCTAATTTATATTATTATAATACTTTAAATATTTTTTTAAAAATTAATTCTATACAGAAACACTCATTTTCTTATTTAGTAAAAGTAAGAAATTTATCTCTTTTTCTCCTTTTGTAAAGCCCTCTCTTCTCCTCCAAACTCTCATAAAATCCTTAATAAAAATCAAAATGGTAAAAAGGGTTGGAAACAGCAAAACTTATTATGAGTTGTCCTTGCAGAACCATTTGTTTTACATTGAAACTTTTATTCTATATTTTTCTAAAGGTTATTTTAGCTAAAATAAACAGAATATTGAAAATAACCAAACTAGATATCAAACAACATTCTTAGAAGGTTATTTTAGCTAAAGGTTATTTTTTAATAAACAGAATATTTGACATAAGCTAATGCATTCTTAGAAGGTCAATAAACAAAAGATAAAATAAAATAATCTATGCAAAATACAATCAAGAAAAGACTTACATAGAAAATGGTAAAGATGGTACATAACCAGAACTAAATACATCAATTGTCATGACTAGTTACTTGCAAAAAACCATTTAGCTACAACTTGAGAGCATTAAAAACAAAACTAAGCAGTATTGTTGATAGTAGTCGGAAAATTAGCATCCTTGCTGCGGCTATCAATCTAAATGTGAGTCGGACACATTATGGTCTAGCTAGACATCATGACATGATCAATTGCTTGCAAGGCTTGGGTGGAAAAAAATCGTACGTCAACATCAGGATCCTCACTGAGCTCAACCAGACACGGTCGGATTGTCTTTTCTACCACCTGAATGGCAATGGCAATGGTGTTCGGGGATAAGATTTATCACAGTAAAAAAAAAGGATATGTTGATGGAAAACACAAGAAAACATGATACTTACAGACTGATCAACGATGGGGAAGATGGACTCTAATACCTTTGCCACATTGAACTTTATGTTGGGCACTCTACATGGGATCAAACAGCCACTAGTTAGAAGCTTGGTATAATAGAAGCTTGAACAATTATACCGATCCTTACCCTATGGAGCTATGTGGTGAATTTTCAACAAATTGAAATAAAATACCTGTCTTTTGATGCTGCAACAACAGCAGGCAATAATTTTGAACAAGTGACTTCAGAGCCCATTACAGGGGCTAGCAGGGAGATTGCGCGGAGAATGGTCATCCGATACAAATAGTGTGGATTGTTAATCATTTCCAAAACCTATTTCCATAAAATCCAAAGTGATACATGTGAAGTTTCATTAGGACAACAGAAAACGTAATAGCAGACAGAAAGCATATATTTCATTGATTATAATACAGTGAACTCCCTGAAGGACGAAAGAGAGGCCAGAGCCAAGGAACGCAAAGCTAATCATAAAATAAAATCCGTGCCATTTGTGGAAGCTAAATTAACATAATGGAAGATAATTCATAAAACCTGTATTTCATAAATTTAGCTGCAGTCAAAAATTCAATTGTCATATTCACAACTAATGACCTTTTCATTCATGACTTAAACTAAAAACAAACCAAGAGGATTGTAGGTTCTTCAATCTCAATCAAGACAGCAGAAAAAGAAGAAGATTTTCACTGTCCCCTACTCCACCTCCCACGATTGCTCATGAGCAACAAATTTCTTCCACCATTCCAATTGAAAACCAGCAGGTTTGTAATTCATTTAAAATAGGTTTCTTATTTTGAAAACCAGCAGGTACGTTAACTAATTGTTATTTTCTAAAACAATATCCAAATCAAACTATAGAGATACAGAGGTGCGCACAGACAAAATACTATTGAGATACATGGTAGTGTACCATGTGCAAAAAATAAATTAAACAAATAGAAAACCTGAGGAATTATGTGCTGCATAGCCCACTCAGGACCAAACTCTTCGGCTAGACGTTTCAAGTTGTTAGCAGCTGCTTCACGAATTGAATGAACCTATACAAACAAAAATAGTAATGTGAAATATGCAGTTCCCAAAATGTTACCATACTAGCAAGGAAGTGAAGACCACAAACCTTATCCTGTAACCACTGCATGCAAAGAGCACCCAATTTGTCGTCAAAAAATCCAACACCCAATTGACTTGCCAACAAGGGTATATACTCTATAATTGCAAGCCGAACCCTCCAATGTCTATCCTCTGCAAGCTCAACAATGGCGGGTAATAATGATTGAGATAACAGATCGATTCCAATCACCTGTAAGAATAGCTTGATCAATATGGCTTTGAAATGTTTGCTTCGGTAAGTATATATGTGTGGCATGCTGATGTAAGAACAAAAACATACAGGTTCTGTGTACTAAATTGATATCAGAGGAAAGGAAAACGTTTTCGAAAGTTTATAAGCATTCTGAAAACTAAAAATCCAGAAACTACGACAACCTGATTCACTTGATCAAGCTTGCTGATGATGTTTAGGCGCACATCGGGAAATTCATCCTTCAGAAGAGATAGGAAAATAGGAAGAAGCTGCTCAATTGTTGCTTCCTGCATTGAAGATAAGGTAGGACTAAGAACCACATTTGCACTAAAAGCCACTACTACATTGATCAGGAAAAAATGCCCGAGGATAATCCTTTATTGCACAAGAGAGGAAAGGCAATAATTAATTGAAAATCTAAAACTACAAGATTAGTTGCAGCACGAGATTAGTTGCAGAATTAAATTATAGATATCCAGTAAACTCAATATAAGTTTTCATACTACCAAAAGGAAGAAACAAGATACCATAAAGTATCTACACTATGCAGTCAAACGTAAAATTATAGATTGCTAAGAAACAAAAGAACCTTTAGAAATGACACATGAAATGTGAGAGAAACAAGGCATGACATGTGAAACATTACTATCATTCACCTAATTTATGACCTTGTTAATTTAGATGGCATAAACACTGATTTAGACCTAGACTTAACATTAAGATACTTCCTTTGTTGCAGACTGGGAGAATAGGGGAAGGTGATGACTTTAAAGGTAAATCTGATTAAACGCTATACAGGTTGATTAATCCCACATTCCCACGGGCATGACATATGCCATTCCCACTTGCAACAGACATGTTTTAGTACCTAGTTGTTCAAATTTTCAATGGCCTACACACTACAATCAGGTGACATGTATGAAAACTGCGAAATATACAACCAAAACTCCATCCAATTTATGAGTTACATACTCAAAGGAAAATAAGAATATTTGAAGCACCCCAAACAACAGATTTGACTTTCGAGATATGGATACTGTACATCAATGTCGAAGTCAAAATTACTGCAGAAACTGCCATCTGACACTTATACCTTTCCTAACACTGGAGCCATTCCCATTATTACTGACGCCAGAGCTGAGCGGACATGTTGTGAAGAATCTGATGATAATTCCTGCAAAAGTTGTTCAATTTAGAATGTTAAATTACACAACCAAAACAAAAGAGTGCCTTCATATATATGGTAATATTAAATATCCATCAGAATTTCTTTCTCAAAGATGTACACCTTAACACAAGGAAGAATGTGCTGAATTGCAAGATCTGGACTTAAAATCCGGCAAAACTTGGTCACTTTCCCAGCAGCTGCTATGCGTACCTCAGCTTCATTATCTCGAAGCAATCGAACATAGGCAGGGACCAGCTCCGTTCTTTGCAAAAACAAAAGTTTCTACACGTTAAAACCTCAAGAGAGAGAGAGAGAGATTGACAGGGCTCGCAAGTCATAATAAAATATATTTACATCCCATACACAATGATGGAAAGATATACGGAAACGGTAATATTTGACTGAAATATAATACCTGGTAGGTTCAGGGCCTACAGCCTCACAGAGCTCATACAACTGATTTGCAACCATGTAACGCACACGCCACGACTTATCCTGCCACGATAAAATGAACCGCATCAAATAAATAATTAGCTAAAAGTATTTGGGCCGGAGCAATATAACATTGTAAAAATATGTAAATCCAAAAATATGTGTTTGGGAATTGGTAACTAAGACGATGGAAAGAAAGGGGACATTTTTTGGTGAGGGGACTAAGAGCATGTACGGATTGGCTTATTTGAGTTTAGTTGTGGGCATAAGAGCTTATGAGACTATTTGGAAGAGCGTATGAAAACAACTTATAACATGTTCCTAAGCTTTTTTTCAACTTATTTCCATAAGTTTATCGATATAGCTTATGAAAACAACTTATAGCATTTATCGATATAGCTTATGAAAACAACTTATAGCATATAATAAAATAATTTAACTTTATGCTATCTTTTGTTATAAAAATAGTTTATACATAAGCACTTATCATAATAAACGCTTATTATAAGCTACAAATTGAGTCGCTAAATAATGAGTTCATTTTTCCTCATTTGGATATTTAAAATATACATTACAGAAGTGATCGGGGTTTTCTAATAAGAAAAACAATTATCAAAATTGTAGAACGTTTATTATCATTTCTAATTTAGAATGGATAGTTTAGAAAATAAAAGGGGAAGTAGACCATTGAATTGAAGTTGGGTGGTCAAAATGGAGGAGGGTCTCATGAATTTTATGTAACACAAAAGTACCGCTCAGACTGAAGGAAAAATTTTATCGAATAGCGGTAAGATCTGCGATGTACGAAACAAGATGTTGAACGGTTAAAAATCAACACGAATAAATTAAGTGTAGCAGAGATGAAGATGTTGTGTTAGATAAGTGGTAAGACTAGACGGGATAAGATCAAAAATGACAACATTAAAGTGTATGGGGTAGCACCTATAGTAGAAATGATGTCAGGGAAATAAACTTAGGTGATTGTGGTTTGGGCATGTAGAGATAGAAGAAGATTTAGAAAAATTATATCAAAAACTATTTAGTAAGATCTCGAGATTAACGGATTGGATAGAAACGTAGTTATTGATAGAGCGTTTTGGCAATTTTGATCCATGTAGCCGACTCCAGTTAGTAGTCTAAGGCTTGATTGTTGTTGTATAGTGTTAGAAAATGAACTTGTGTCAATGTATATGTCACTTAAATGAACCAAGAGAATTTTTGTTTTCTATCTATTATTAGCGTTGACACTTATAGTCTCTATTAAATACTTAGCACGTAGATATATTAAATTGATTTCTTTTTACCAAAATATCTCATCTGATAAAGTTTTGTCCGGCTTCTATAAATTAACTTATTTGTTTTCCTTTAAATATCTATAGAAGTGGCTATATTCAATAATATGCGCCTGCATATATTAAATTGATCTATTTTCTCCAAAATATCTAAACTCATGAAGTTTTGTCCATCTTTAAACTAACTCTTATTTTCCTTTAAATATCTATATGGTTAGAATTGAGTATATCCCTACTACAAACAATCTCAGTAGCAAGATTGGAAGGAAAAAAACTGCATTTTCTGATCTATGCACTGTGGTAGTCATGGATACAATATATAGCAATTTGAAGGGAAAAAATCAAGGTACGGGGTACGTCAATAACAACATGAGTTTTTTTATAGAGTATGACATGAGAGAGCTAAATTGTTCAAACACTTCCACTCACAACAAAAATATCACAACAAAAGTTAAAAATTGGGTCAAGTTACAAATTACAAATAATAAAGAAACACGGATACACAAATAAAATTATATTTCTAATATATACGAAAGCGACAAATTTCATTCGCAGCGAAATAATGAGAAAGATGTAGCACCGGACATGTATCGGAACTGGTACTTCACCATTTTATAAGTATACATGCTTCAGAGGTGATAGTACAATATCGCAATTGATTGACGTAACATTTTCTTCTCTCTTCTGTTACAACCCATTATGAACGGTATATTAAAATACATTCATGTGCTTTATTTTAGGCTATATACCAAAACTAGGGGATCAAGATGCTCTCCATTTTATTTCTTCTCTCAACTCCAAACTAGGAGGTTAAATAATTGAAGTCTAATCAACTCAAGCAGCCTTTCCTCCCCACCTTACCCTCCAAACATCTAGTGATGACAACACTTACATATCCATTATAATTTGGTTTTAACCCGTGCATTATGCATATATACAGACTAAAGTAAGAAAAGATTAAAAAGTTGAAGATTGAATGGATCTAGAGTATATTACGAATCTTTATCTGAACGTACAATGAAGCATGATAATTGAAAATGTAATCAACCCATATCTGTTCTGATAGATTGAAATAGTGGGAATGAGATATAGGGAGGGAATCCATCATTAATAAAGGGAAACCTCCTTATTTCTATCTATTGATAAGACAACTATTCTTGATCCATCAGAAATAAATTGAGATGTATTTGAGGGTCTCTACATCATTAGTGGAGCGCCTAAGCGCCAGCTCAGTTCTCTCATCCATCGGTCCAATGCACTGTCATGGATGGAGGAAAAGGCAAAAATCTAGTTGTGTAGTTGTTGTTCGCCACCTCGACACATGGGACTCTTGGATCACTATGGCCGACTTTCATCTCTGTTTGACCAGTCGGTCTCACAGTCAGGCAGGCTTATACCATTACGCTCACGAGCAGAATCTTAGCTTAAGCATGCCTTCGCTTATGGCGCTATCACACTCATTATTCTATTCTAGAAGTAGATATTCAAGTGGCCATTTGGCTCCTATTTGCCCCTTTCTATACCTAAGCTCTTCACCTGCTTTGTCCGTTGCTATCCATAAGTCACTGTTGCTATCCATAAGTCACTGCATTGTCCGTTGCTATCCATAAGTTACTGACATTCCTATCCATAAGCATAGGGCAATTTTTTCCTATTAATTCAGAATGGACAAAATTCACCCTATAACCTAACACCTTCCGGCTACTTCTTTTTTTTCAGATGAATGTATATACATGGTAGTCAAAATTGAGTTATAATCGTACAAATACATGATTTAGCAATTTTGATTGCCCTCAGCAATTAAGAGTCTACATAGAATCGGATTATGGTGAAATCAGGTGGAATTGAAGTTGTTAATTTTAAATCGTATGATTTGCAATCTTTCTATGATTTTGGTTAAGATGGCGCGTAGCCACATGGCACGCGTGTTAGGATTGGAAAAGAACCGTGTTTCTTGTCTGCAGGTCAGAATAAGGACTTGTATCACGTGAGACAAAAATAAAGCTCATTTAAACTTGAGCTTTTAGTTAAAAACACATGGGGATTAACTTCTATTTATTTTTACTTAATAGTGGTAAAACGTCTTGGTTTCCCATCATCTCTCTCCAGTTTTCCTTCATCTGTTTCGCCCGTCTTCTTGCGACCAGCTCTCTTTTGTGCACAAGCTCTTCTCTGTTACGGTTCTATTTCTGTTGTTGACCAAATGGCTTCCGTTGAAGACCATCTCTAGAAGAGATGGAAGAATGTCTTAATAAGTTGAATGGTGAACAAAATGGAGCAAATGAAGACTTATCGAGTGATTATGATTTTCAACTTGAGGATTAGTTGTTCTTGGTGATTTTACTAGCTTTAGTTTTTTGTTTGTAACTTGTAGTCATGAGTTTGCAAGACTTTATTTATCGACTTATTTTTGCTTATGAATTTTTTATTTTTTTTGGTTTCCCATATAGGTTCCCTCTGTTGGAAGTAATCCTATTTGAGGAGTATAAGATAATAAAGGGCACTAAATGTGGGTGCATCTCCCAGCCGGGATTCAAACCTTGGTTTGCCATATGTATTTGAAATGTGATGTATGGTTTTCTTTATCTTGTGCTATTTTATATTATGAAGCATGGACACCTCTAGGAGTACGCGTGCCGCGGTGTTCGACATGCGTTGGTGTCCAACACTATATGACACTCGTACGACACGTTTCGGAAAAGTCAAATAAGTGTCGGAAAAGTTAGACTAAGTGCCCCCTAAAAATTGTTTTATTCTTTGCTTCAACACTCATTGAATCAATGTCCATCACTCGTATGACATTCATAACACATGTCAGTCAATTCAGAGTTTCAAATAAAAAATTGTTTTTTTTTCTTTGCTTCAACACACCTTTATACATATTTTGAACAAATCCCACACACATCTAAAAGAGTTAAACATGTATTGAAGCAATGTTATCAATAAAGAATTAAAGACACTAATTTTGATTAGAATATTATCACACTTTTAATAATAGATGGATAAATGAAGTGGTGTCGGTGTCCTATGTTTTTGACATTGTCTGTGTCGGAGTGTCTGTGCCGTGTCGTGTCCCGATGTCCGTGTCAGAGTCCGTGCTTCATAGATTTTATATGAACAATAGTTTCATCCATTTCTATATGTACCTGAGAGAAATTAACAATAACTGGGAGTATATGTGCAACACAATCTTGTGGCTCCAACAGTTTTCCAAGAGCAGCACATCCCTCAACGGCCAACAATCTGACAGAGTCTTGATCTGATCCAAGTAAAAGAAACAATTACATGTTAAAAACCGAGCACATCCAGAAATATAGATAATAGACTTTGCAACACAATCGAGTAACCTAGTACATAAACTAGACAATGCACAGATTTTTCCACCTAAAAAGAACATAAAATATTTTAGTACCATCTTGAGTAAGATCGTCAAAAATTGACATGATGTCAGCCTTCAAATGAGTATACTCAACAGTTGCAGCGAATTTCCCAAGATTTGTTGCAGCAGATCTTCTAACCATAGGCATGTCATCCTGACATAACTGACTGTATATCGATCTCAACTCTGTCTTCGTTGCTTCTGGCGCACTAGGGTAAGCAATATGAAATAGACCACATGCAGAGACTCGGGCGGTAAACCATTCACCTGCTGCCAATCTCTGAAAACAGAAATCGTAGCATGAATTGCATAGACTGTTCTATTCTACTAACATGATAAATGGAAACTAACATGATAAATGGAAACTGGCAGGATACAATGCATCTTAAATACTAAATAGGCATCATGTGATCACTTAGCAACAAAACAATGGTAGGTACGGTAGCTAAATTATGAAGTCAAATGAGGTGCTCATTAAGCATCATTTAAATTTGCATAGATCCATTAATCAAACTCCATTTTTCGAACGTATCAACACTGTTTACATCATAGAAACTTGTCAAAATCCAGGTAAAGTAAATCACTGTGATAATTTAAACCACACAGATTGCCAAAACGATGAGCGAAAAAGGGAACACATTAGGTAGCATTCATGATGATTTTCGTATAAAGTAATAGTAAAAGCACTTAGATTGATGAAAAGAATCTTAACTGACCTTCACCAACGGTATAAAATATTCAACCAAATCACTCTCCCTCATTTGAGATCCAATTCGACAAAGCGACTCAACAGCTTTATCCCTCACACACGTCTCCTCAACACTGCAAAACGCCTCCAAAGGTGGTAACAATGCACTAGCATGCTCCACTCCACCAACATAAGGAATGAAAACTCCCAACTCTTCCGCCATCGCAAGAAGCACCTCGTCGTCATCATCATTATTTTCCGTCAAAAACGGAATTAATTCTCTACGCGTTCGCTCCTCCCCAAGCGCACGCGCAATCGTCGACAGCCTGCGAATTGAATTCAACCGCAACTGGATGTCATCGTTTTTCAACTCGTCTATAAGCACAGCTATTGGATACAGTGGTTCATCAGCCATAGACATTTTGTTTTGTTCCCAATTTTTCTGAAAAATTAAATATACCAAACCAAACCAATCACATCAATCACATAGTTAGAATATCAACTAAAACCATAGGTTCCAAAAGTAAGGTTTGAATTACAGCAAATACTACTAAATCATCACACTAACATAACATTGACGAATAAATAATGAAAATAGACTAAAACCACTTGAACTTCGAAATTTATCGTTTCAATTGACTGATTCCATTCGAAATTATAGCGTGTGAAATCGAGAAATAGAAAGAGGAAGAATAACGTACCGTTTTCGCGCGAAAGAGATGATTTCTTGCGATTTAGCTAGCTACGGAAACGTAGCTATTGGGGAATTGAGATCTTGTTGAGTGAAGGAGTCGAATGAGGGATTCAAAAGGGGATTTAGTGGGTGGAAATTGAAAACCCTAAGACCGTGTGAGAAGAAGAAGGAAGAAGAAGAAAGAAGAAGACAATATTAGAAAGCAAAGTGGTCACACAGACAGAAATGGCACTCGCTTCTCCAATGCTTCTCGAGTAAAACGCACCGTTGCCCCTCGCACGTGTGTGACTTATTTTTTTCCGTTGTTGTTTTTTTTATGGTGACATTTAGAAAAAAAATGATGCTAAGTCCCGGACACTAATTAAAAATTTTCAAATAAAAAAAATATATTATTATCAACTCATTGAATATATATAATATTTTTAAAAAGTTGATTATTTTTGTTTTTAGTGTAGTGAGTAGACATATATTTAAAAGAAATATTTTTTTTAATCTATTAAATAATGTTTAACTGATCATTTTAATCTATTAACTAGTGTACGGGACAATTGTAAACATTTCTAGAAAAAAATACAGTGTGACAAACTTTTTTTAATAAAAATGCAATTGAAAATCAAAAGTATCTTTTATTGTTTAAAAGAATTGGAGAGTCCTATTAAAGAGTAATCAAAGAGAAGTTGTTGAATGAGTTAAAGACAAGATTACGAATTCAGTTGTAAGTGTGTGTAGGTTTAGAGTTTTATTTTGAACCCTATCGATTATTTGAACTTAAGCACACATATATTTACAAGTATATGTGGTTTCTCTAGTAAACTCATATATTTAATAAGACAGTTTTGATATACAAACATATCACGAATGAGGAGGTTACTTAATATTTTCTGAGTAAAATGACTACTTTGGAGGTCACGGTCAAGATGAAAGCTAATACTCTCACCACTATAAATAGGAAATTCATTATAAATGCTAATAGGCTATTAATTATCATAAGCATTGAATACTTTATTTTTTATTATAGTGCATTTATTTGTGAATTTAACCTCTCATAATTTAGCAAGAACATTTGGCGTTTGTTGTTTGTTGTGGGATTGCAATAAACTTAATTCATTAGTCGCAAAACGATTGAGAAGATAGTGTGAATTTAACCCCACATGCAGAAGGTGGGGTTTTAACCGCAAATCAATATACTATGGATGAATTCCAACATCAGGACAAGGCCTTGCAAAAGCAAGTTCAAAAAATTCATTAGGATCAAGTTATTGAGGAGGACTCCAACGAAGAGTTACACCTTCGAGAACATGTGGACGTGATGAAAACGTAGACGGTCACTGTTGGAAGAGTATAGTCATTGAAGTGTAAGCTCGTATCAGGAACTCTAAAGGAGTCGAACCTGAGCCCTTGAGAGGAGCACACTCTCAAGACCCAAGTTTTCACCACCAGGCCACACACACACACGTGCTTGAAGTGTAAACTCCTATTAGGCACTCTAAAGGATGTTACTTCAATGATAAATGAATTTATATTGACATTCCATTATGGGGTACACTGATATATCTTGAAAATCGACTGACCAATGTGAAACAAGCATTAAAAAGTGTTCACAACTAGTTTGTTCAACATGTGCCATGGTCACTCTAAAACCCTTAAAATATTTCTCCTTTTTGAATGATTCCTTCATACAGGATGATCAACCAAAACCATGAGATGTTTTTAGGTGCTTTCTAAAACAAGTTGAACGATGGACGTTTAAACAAAACTTTAGCGTAAAACCTAGCCATATTATCCAAGAAATCGTGAAGTGTTCCAAATGCTAATCAAGTATAAGAGTTGAACACTAAAAAGATAAACAAATAAGCTAAATAAAAGGCCAAAAGTGAAAAAAGAATTATTTACCAGGACTGCAAGATACTCAGTGCCAAAATAGATCAAATTTTTGACATAATGATTGAAGACATTATAACTTTCCAACAAATTGGTTAAATGTTATGACGAGTCAATTTTGCTGGAGGAGATCATGCACATAAAAGTGTTAGATGAGCCACCTGAACCAAAATGCCATATGGGTTGTAACCAAAGTCAATGGTGTTTTTAACATCACAAAAATGGACACAATAATAACGGATATCATCTAAAGAGAGAAATTGAAATGCTAGTACAAAAAAGATATTTGAAAAAGTAAATATAAGGCTCTCAGTCAGAGACAATGCCGATAAGAGATAGGCCAGCCAAATAGAGATCTCCCCAATCTTGATGTACATAATATAAAGAGCGTGATAGTAAAAAGAAGACCTCTTAGTCATACATAATATCAACACCATTGTTGAAGGACTCTCTTGACACGACAAGTTGAGTTTATCCATGATACGGTATCTGAATTGTGTGTCATGGGCTCTAAATTATAAAGTGAAAGTCTACGTTAGAAACATTGTGTAATGGATTTAAGAAAAAGATTTATGTATGTGTTAGAGATCTAGCACAAAAAATGAGAGAAAATACCATTTGGTTCGAGTCACGAGAAAGAAGTATGAGACGACTCAAAGGGGTGAATGATTTGAATCAAGATCCAAGAATTAAGAAAAATTGTTTAGATGATTCAAATTAACCCTCATACGATTCAAATTATTTGAGTCAACAACATCTCTGATTCAAATCAGATTCATATAACCAAAATCTAAAATTTGATGTCTAAATTTGATCGAGTCAAGTAAGTATGTGATTCGAATAAAACATTTATGATTTAAGTTATGCACTATTGTGGTTCGAACCGTGTTGGCAAGAGAAAAAATTTGTTTTAAATAAGTATATTTGAATTGAGTTAGACATATCATGTGATTCGAAAAAGGTTTACAAAAGCAAAATCTAGATTTTTGCACAAAGTTTGATCTGAGTCACGACATCCTGTGATTCAAATAACAATTTAAAAAATTTCAATTTTTCATTAAAATGAAGTGTTATCTGAATCAAAACTTGTCATGAATTGAATTATTCTCAAATGTGGTTCTTGATTTAAACTTCTGACTATTTGACTAGAAGCATAATGTTAAGACTATAATTAAACAGTTAGATTAATGCATGCATAAAACAGATCAAGAACTCAACTCTAGAATGTGCAACTGTGTGAGGGAACTCAATTATGACAAAATAAACCAAAAACTAAATTGATAAGCAACAAAACATAAACAATTGAACCCTAAAAGGCATAGATAACTTCAACGACGACGTTTAACAACCATAAATATATTGGTTCAATAGCAGCAACTGCCATCAACCAAAGCTTTTGAACCTACCCAGAACGGGTTTTGAAGAGAAAAACCCCTTTCTTATGATACAGATGATAAAGATCGTAATTAGAGAAGACTCAGATCATCACCATTATCCAAAAAGATTCGGAGCAACACAATGGCTCGACCCTTGTTAAACCTTGAAGAATGTTGATAACCTTGTGGATGACGACGACAATAGGTTAGGAACACAAGATGAAGTTTGAAATTAGGGGACGAAGAACTGCTCCTTCCATCAATGTGAGTGTAGAATCTTCTTTAAGAGAGATCATAAACATGAAATAGAAACACACCAAATAGAAATGTGTTGAAAGAAACCACCACTGCTAAAATCGATTGTCGCCTAGTTATAAAGAGCAACCCATTAAAAGGGGTTTGATGGTGACATAACTAAGATAGTAGATCAAACCATCACATATATAAGGTTACACGGTGGAAGCTGGTTTGAATTTGAGGAGAAAGAAAATGAGCTTTTAAAGATAAGGCGTGTCAGTTTTACTTTTAGAGAGATAACACATAATGTCTTTATGCTTGAAAAAATAATTTAGACAAAAAATTAATGTCTTGTTATATAACACTCATTTGAAACAAATGAAAAAAATTCAAAATTTTATTTTTAGTTTACAAAAAATTATTTAAAATGGATCTTTATTATAATTTTACAACTTCAACCATAAGTCACTACATGCATTGATCAACAAATGATTTAGAATAAAAACAAGGGTAAAAAAATGTGCATGACATTCACTTTCAAGACATAAAAGAATTGTTAATTGTTAATTTTCCATTGACGGAGTAGGCATTGATGCTTGTAGTTCTAGTGTGGATATGGAGGTGGACCTACAAAGTTAGCACTACAACGTCTAAGTTAGTTTGTGAAATTACTTATAGTGGATTAAAATTTTGAAAAATGAATGTCATGCCTGCTTTGGTGCGAAAAGGGAATAATTATATGGTGAAAAGGATTGGGTCTTCCTAATCCTTTTTTGAGCCTTGAGTCTAGTCAAGAACAGTTGTCCCCAGGCTTGCTATGCCGAGAGACATGTGAAATCTCCATAGTCAGGTCGGTGGCTTCATACATATATTCTCGCTTAGAAGAATGAAAATGTTTCGGGAACATCCTTATTAAATGTTTGTCTAATCATTGGAACATTTTGTTAAATACCTTACGTGTGGTTCTAGGTGATCAGGCTAGAGAGTGACACATCTTCTAGACCATTTGAGTTCACTTAAGTGCATTTATTTCCTGGAGGAGACATTTTGGGTAGGTGGATCATCCTTCTGACATCATCTTGTGATTTTGTAACATTTTCCCTTTCTTTATATAAATTCCCTTCTAGGTTTCCTTGTAACTTTTTGGTTTCCTTTTTCTTTTTTATGTCACTCTCGTGCTTTCCTTCTATATTATCCCTGAGTAATTCTTGCTTCCAATTGCCTCTATGCATG